TCCACCAATTGTTATCATCATCAGCTTCATGCCTGCCCCCTCCCATCAAGCAGCAAGAAGTACACATTGGCAATCCCACTGTAATAAGCAACTTGGCCCCCGCGCTGACTAGGATTATTACATTGATTACGAAGGGTCATCTTTTTGCAGGGGAAAATTCAATCTTATTGATCCTTTATTTCATTGTCTTCCCACTTCTGGGAGAGTTCATTTTCAGTGTTCCTTACATTTTAAGATGGTCATCCAACGAAAAATGAGAGCATCAGTCATTTCAGCAAATGGCCAGAAATGACTCATGTTCACATTCAAATCCTTATAATAGTCATGGGATGTCCATCAGGGGCAAAGGAGGATGTAGTACGACATTATAGAGCCACAAAATCACATGTCAGACTTTAACACTGGAAACAACTGTTCTTCACCTTTCTGACAGAAAAGAATAGTTTTTTTTAAGCATGACTTCGATAATTCCCTAAATTTAACTATGTATTGAACCAGGTGTTTATTGCAATCCATCCAGCTCTTCTAACCTTCAAGTCTCTCTCCAATCATTATTTAACCCCCTAAAAACTCATCCGTGTATCTGAGTTACATATATAAAAGTTTTTCTATGAAAAAAAATAATCCCACACACCTTAAAATTGCTCAGATATGAAGCTACATTGTTAATTCCTTTAGATCTATGAAGTCCCTGCTTCTTTTCCTGCCCAACCCTCTCCTATTCATTGCAACTCAGCACACCAGCTCACCTACAACCCTGCTCAAACACTGTAAAACTATTCTGCGCTAAATGGAAAGTTGTAGTCCTAAAGTATGTTCAACCTGGAAACCTGTTCTGAAGAAGAATAATGATACAGAAAGATCCACCCCACAAGTTGACTGAATTAGTTTATTACATTTGTGACATACGAAATCCTGGTGGTCTGAATCCGTGTTTTTAATACGATCGTCAGTACACTGCAGTTTTAAGTGGAAATGCTCAGCAGTGGCATTAGACTGTCTTTGTCACTCATTAAGCTTCTTAATAACAGACAATTCTTATAAAGAAGAACAATTCGAGATTAATATAGTGTGAAGCCTGTCTTGGAGCATAGCTTTATTCATTTTATTAAAAATTTACGTTTTGGGCCATGTTACACTCTGTTGCTATGTTTACCACATAATACAAAGCTCTACTTTGTACGATTCCAGGGTGATGACTCCCCTAGAGAGTTTTTATGCACTTATTCACTGAGGTTGCCTACGTTATCAGGGTTAATTTCAGTTTCTCTGTGATCAGAATGGAGGATAATGTGTTTACTGAGCCCAAACGTATGGAAATGATGTCCATTATATTTAATTAACTGATAACGTGTGAATCTGGTGCATATAAAAAAAAAACAGGGAGGGGGTCTTTAATGAATAATTAGTTTTAACCTGTAACGTTATTTCTTTACTAATATTGGTCAAGTTTTTTTTTTTACAGAAAAATTAGCCAAATCATAGGTGTATAATCAGAATATAAAACTAAGTAGTAATGGTGAAATGGCTGTTTGTAATCATTTTGATAGCTACGGTGAACAATGTGATCCTAACCAGTCATTTAACAATGCATTGACAAACAATGCATTTAGTTATTTAATTTGGAGAATATTGGTATTTTTTTCCTCAGTTCTTAGCATGGTCTTAATATAGATTCTTGTATATTTTAAGTTACATTTGACCATAAGCCAAGTAAAAATTATTTGGCATTTCCAGACTTGGCCTGCAAAGTGGCGCAGTTGATAGCACTGTTGCCTTACAGCAAGAAGCTTGCTGGTTCGCATCCTGGTTGGGGCACCAGGATCTTTCTGCGTGGAGCTTGCATTTTCTCCCTGTGCATCGTGGGTTCTCTCCAGGTTCTCTGACTTCCTCCAACACAGTCCAAAAACATGCTGAGGTTAATTGGTGATCCTAAACTGTCCGTGGGTGTGAATGTGAGTGTGCTTGGTTGTCTGTCTCTAAGTGTAGCCCTGTGATAAACTGGCAACCTGTCCAGGGTGTCCTCTGCCTTCGCCCTAAGTCGGCTGGGATAGGCTCTAGCCCCACTGCGACCCTAGTGAGGATTAAGCGGTGTATGGGTGATAGATGGATGGATTTCCAGACTCACTTTTCTTCAGTTTCACAATCAAATATATTATGCAAGATAGATATAATCAGCATGTGTGTTTGTCCCCTGTACCTCCTTCTCTCTCCCTACTGGCCTCAGTCCAGAATAATTACCCAGGAGCTCTGCCATCTTTGCTAGCCTCCTCCTCTCCTCTACGCCTCCTCCGTGCTCTATGTTCTGTAGCTTCCCTCCTCTTCATTCCAGGCTAGGTGCAGGGCAATAATAGAGCAGCGAGTGGGGAGGCATGGGTTAATCTGTTGACCCCTAGCTGTTGTACACCATCTGAACATGTTTCTCTGGAGTCTGGACCTCAGCTATTACTCTAAACTATCTGCGAGTGGTTCTTAGTCCGTCAAAGTGCAGCTCAAGGTTCATAGTGTGCCCTACTTAGAATGAAAACTTGTATTAAGAGACAGAATAAATACACATACGGAATATTAAAATTATTAAACTAACTTCCCATCCCATAGTGACAGCCACAACAAATTAAATAAATATGAGATGTAAGGAATTAAATCTGACTTATATCTGAAAAGGTGCCATACTTGATATTCACATATTTTCAATAAACGCTGAAAGTGGGTGATTGTTGTTGTGCATTTCCCACAAAATAAACTGTCTTTTAAAGAACGAAGCACAGCAATATTTTAGGTTATAGGCTATAAAAAGCTGAGCAGGTAATAATTTTAGGAAGCACTCACAGAATTTGCTACAGACAACATTTGACAGACAAAAGCTCTCCACTCAAAATATAGATGCTTCTAATGTAGCCATTTCGTTTTTATTGAATATATCCTAAATCCTGTAGTACCTCAAATTTTAATTATTAAATTGTATCTGCTTGTACCTAATCTGCTTACATCCACTAACTTGTTATTGATAAGACAAAACCAAAACCAAAAGAGGGCATGTCATATTTTTTCTGTAATGTTTGGTGTTTATTGAATTCCCATTTAAACTTGAAGCATAAACATATTACTGATCCAGTGACGATTTGTGTGTTTTGTATAGAAGAGCAAAATATGCTTGCAATACAAGGCATCAGTGGTGAAAATGTTGGGCAAAATTGGAATTAAGAACAACTTTCTTATACCTATTGAGTAACAAACAGGGGAAATGCCTGCAGAGTGCTGTTTTCTTAATGAATTCCTACTCTTTGGTTTGAGCGTGGGCTACAACATACAGTGCCAGTGTGTTTCATGGTGTGGTGTTCCTGTTTTCGGTAAATGTTTTTAATGATCCTGTAGTAATTAATTAACATTTTATTCTTTTTGCATGAAGGATTATTGTGGTGATTCTCCTTTGCATTTTTTTTTAATTAATCCTGAGATTATCCTGTGTAGCCTTCAGTATGTGGCAGCACAGAGGAGTTTCTGTGCTGTGAGGTATTAAGAGCGGTCCGTATTAACAAGGCCTAAGTGAATTAGTTCCAAGTCTCCTTGACTATCAGAATGTTCTTATTCAGTGTCGTCCACTCCATTGTTTGCCTTCGGCACAGCTGATTGCTTCGATAACATTTACATGTATGAAAGGCCACTGTCTAAAGAATCACAGCGAAACTGTGAAGGCATTCAGCGTTTTGAGAAATGATTCATCTGATTTGACAGAGGGCATGCAGGGGATGGAAACAAGAGAACATTACCAGTGAAGAGGTGAGGGCCACTGGGTGTATTTCTGTTTGTTGTCTCCATCTGCTGGGTGTAATTAGCAGGCAACGGCCACAAGATGCCTCAGAGAGAGATAGAAAGAGCCAGTCAAAGAAGAGTGTAAGTGAGGTGAGGAACTTAACGAGTCGGACAGTAATTTGAAAATGAAGAGGGGGGAAAAGAAAATATGAGAAGAGGACTCAAGTGGGTCTCAGTCTAATATTTTAACCTATTTAATTTAAGTGAATAAAGAACCCCAGGTGCACTTGAACTTGTTAATGAGAACAGTGCAGTGTTCATAATTTGAAGTGCTCCTCTCTGAAGGAGTGCATAGACTATACCAAAGTTAATGCAATTCATCAACCCGTGCAAGGTGATGTAGTTTCGAAGAAATGTGCGCTGTGCTAACATAGCAGTCAATCAGTCATGTATGCAGGCATGCATATAATATTACAACTGAAAGAAAGTCCTGAAGAAAAGGCTTATATTTGCACAATTTTAAGAGTCCAAGAATTGTAAGATTTATCTAATAATTCTCAACATCTAAAGTGAATTTAATCAAATATTTTTATTAAAATTGTTCTGTGGAGTTCCTTTCTTGTAAAGCATTTTTAAATCTAATTTATTTTTAGAATAAAATAGCTTCTTAACTGTCTGCATTCTTTGTGATTTAAGTGTCAGTCAACAGAACAGTGTGAGATCACCGTTAAGCATGGTGATATATCACTGCTTTCACTTGAGGATGAACGTGTTTAAAACAAACAAAACAAGGACCCGTTCATAAAAAAAAATGTGCTCCATTTCAACTTAGAAACTCTGCTGGGTATCTGTAAATTATGTAGTTGTTTGTATGTAGTTATTGGGATTTTTGCCAGAATTATCGACACCACACGAATTACAGCTTGGTAAAGAAGTGAAGAGGAGGGGGAAGCTGGCAAAGAAGCAGAAGCAGTGGAAGGGGGGCAGACAGTGACAGAAACAAAGGAATGCAGGACAAGCAGCTTGTGGACTAGTTGGAGGTGGTAGAGAGATAAAAGACAGCACTGCAACAGCCAAAATCCATATTGCATGAAATAGAGACATACACATAGCTCATCCAGCACCTTTCCTTCCAGAGGCTTCATGCTGCATCTCAGGAGTTATGTTGAATTATCCACAATGCCACTTTCGTTTGTCCCTCTGACTTGCTTTGCTCTGTCTCTCACTCTCCCCATCTATCCATCCAGGAAACACCAACAGCGTTTTTGCCCTGGACTACATCAGTGGGTCCCTGACAGTGAATGGCCAGCTGGACAGAGAAAACCCACTCTACTCAGCAGGATTCACTCTCACTGTCAAGGTGAGCTGCTGAATTTAGGGGGAGGAGTGTGATGGTGAGACCCGGAGAAGGGATCGAAAGCCTGTTTGGGCGGTGGATCAAGAGAAAGCTTTGATATGATAGTGTACTAAATCAATGCAGTGTCTCAGTTTGATATTGTCTCAAAAGACTTGCTAAATTCAGTCCTTCAACCTGGCTTGTAGCGCACATATTGTGATGTGACAGCATTTGATGTCGATACGCTGGAATTTGGAAGGATTCCAAGGTCAATATGCCACTTAACACTGACTAAATACAAGATCCAGCAGTACCATATGTGCCGATTGAGCCTGTGTAAATATGCTTCTGTGCAAATGTGACCCAGACAAACTCAAGTGCCTCCATTGGACTTGCTAGTGGAGGTATTCATGTTTGTGATTCTATGATAATATCTCCTTCAGAGGCTTGTGTTCACCGAGCAGCCAGGAGGACAAGGGGAGATGAGAACAAGATAAAGGAATAGAATTTAGAGTCCTCCTTGATGCAGAGGCATCCTTTGTTCCTCCATTTTTTCCCCCCTTTTTTCTTTTGTTTGAAGCAGGTGCAATCTCCGAATCCCTCTGTCCCTCCACTGAGCCTAGAGGCTATCTCTCTTGACTTTTTAGCATGTCAGTCCTGCCCTCTCACCCCCACCACAGCTTCCCACCGTGTCCATTCCGCCATTGTTTTTTTTTTTTTGTCATTATTTCTTCTCTCCAGTATTGTATACCAAGTGATTGCCACAGGATGAGAGGATGCGTGAAATGAAAAGATTTGCAAAAAAAGACCCTTTTTTTTCACTGTGTATCTCCAATATTGCATTCTTGATTTTGATAGCAAGTCAAATCATTTCCACCTTTTTCCAAACAATTAAACGGCACCTAATAGCCTCACTAGCGCTCATGTACTTACTCATTTAGCCGCAATTATTGTCAATAAAAAAACATGTACAAGATTTTTCTTTTCTTTTCTTTTTTTTATATGTGAGACTATTGAGATACAACCCAATCTAAGGTTTAATACAAAAAAAAAATATTCTGGCTAATATATTCTAGCCTCAGTCTGTCTTTTTAATTGAAATCAATAATTACAAACAAGAAAAGTAGAATGAGCAAAAGTGCTGAAAAAGAAAAAATGTCACACAAAAATGTATTTATAAGATATGGATTTTTTTTCCTCCGAATTTTCTCTCCTTCTCTCTGCTTGTGCTTTCTTAGCTGGTGCTGCTATTGATTGTGGTGTGCCATAGTAATACAACTAATTTCTCAACTTCAGGCAGCTTAGATAGTGCTGAGCGTGTGGAGGTGGAGGTCAAGTGATTTAGTGGCGTTGGGATGAAAGAGGCTAAACTACCTTGATTACCCAGAGACCAGCATGTTGTTCCTGACTCTTCTCCTATTGCCTGTGACACTCCTCCATCAATAAAATACTTTCTCTCCTATTTTTTTTCTTTTCTTTCATTTCAGAGGCCTCAAGTCTTCAATACTGAGGCAGCAGAAACAGAGAGAGAGAGAGTGTGTAATCATGTCTTCTCAATGGGACTCTTTTCTCCTAAATCTTATTGTGTGTCCATGTGTATATGTGTGTATGTGTGGATGTACATGTGCTGGCCCTCTCTTGGCCTCACTTTGAGCCTATTTCTATGATTGCTTTGAGGCCGTCTGTCCACCTTTTGATCCAATAAATGAACAGCTGTAAATACCTGGCGAGATTGCGTGCTGACCGCCTCCATCCAGAATGACATTTTCAGTCCAATCAAATGCATCTCATGTGGCTCTTTCCTTCTCTCTCTCTGCCACTTCCTTCTGTTGCTCCCTATAAGGCCACAGAGTTAAAAGATGATCGCAGCCCATCTAACGCAACGGTGATGACCACCTTCACTATCCTGTTAATTGACAAGAACGACAATGCCCCGAAGTTCAACAGTTCCGAGTATCGAGTCCGCATCACTGAGCTGGCCCAGGTGGGCTTTGCCCTGCCCCTCTTTATTCAGGCCGAAGACAAAGATGAGGTGAGTGGATCACCACTTAATTTCTGACAACAGTCACAACAGATTTGACTTTAGACTGATACAGTTTAAATCAATTCTTGGATAATTTAATAAATCAGCATGGGAACAAATAAAGGATTTCAAAATCAGATGCTTTCATCACTGCACTCTGCAGTTCTGTCCACCTGAACCTGCTAATGTTGCTACACTGTTCTGTTTTATAACAGGCCTCTACAGTGCACATGTCACTATATGAAAGGAAAAATTAGAAATGCGAGAATAGGAAGAATTATTTTCGCTCACCAGTGCAAGTGACTCTAATTTTGGATGCAGAGTTTGACAAAACACATGGATAAGCTAATTCTCATTTTTGGTCAGTGCTGATCATTACTTTTGTTAGTAATGCCACCAGCAGCAGCAGCAACAGCAGCAGCTCATAATGGCTGTCACTGATGCTTGCTGTTCATTCTGTACTGGACATTTTCTAGTTTCTAGAGTGACTGGTCTTCTCTCTAGCAGATTGTGACATATCTTTCTAGGGTCACTTTCTACAGGTACCTTTTCATCATTCATATATCAATCATTTCAGATGAGAAACCACAACCATCAGTATCTGGATCTAGTGGCTCATGAAAAATAAGGTGTGCCAAACTGTGCACTCTGTCACTGATGTACAATCAAGTCCATAACTATTTGAACAGTGACACAATTCTTGTAATTTTGGCTTTTGGCTACAAATCCTTTGCAGTCATTGACTGCCTGAAATCTGGAGCCCATGGACATTTTCCAAATGCTGAGCTTTCTACCATGTGATGCTTTGTTGGGCATTTATTGCAGCCACCTTCAGTTGCTGCTTGTTTGTGGGTCTTTCTGCCCTCAGTTTGGTTCGGTAAGTATAAAGCAGCTCAGATTGGTTGAGGTCAGGTGACTGACTCATCTGTTTCTTTGTCTTAAGAAGCTCTTTGGTTGTCTTCTGTATGTTTTGGGTCATTATCCATCTGTACTGCAAAGCACCTTCCTGTCAGTTTTGCAGCATTTGACTAAATCTGAGCAGAAGGTCTGTCCACTTCAGAATTCATCCTACTACTTCAGTCAGCAGTCACATTATCAATAAACACCACTGACCCAGTTCTATTGGCAGTCAAACGTGCCCATGCCACAACACTGCCTCCACCGTGTTTCACAGCCGATGTCTGTTTTAAACCATGTAATTTCATTCCTTCTTCATTTTCTTCGACTGCCATTGTTCTGGTACAAGTTCATCTTGATTTTATCCATCCAAAGAATCTTCTTCCAGAACTGGGCAGACTTTTTTGTAGATGTTTTTGATTAAAGGTTAATCTGGCCTTTCTGTTCTTTTTTGCTCTATTTACATCTTGAGATAAATAGTCTGTATGTGAATTCACCAAGGCGCCTCTAATTTGTAGACTTTGACAATGATGTGCAGACCTCCTCAAGAGTGTTCTTACCTTGGCTTGATGTTGTGAAGAGGTTTCTCTTCAGTCCACAAAGAATTCTGCTATCATCCACTTCAGTTATCTTTCATGTTCTTCTGGGCCCTTTGGCGTTGTTGAGCTCACTAGTGCATTCTTTCTTTTTAAGAATACACCAGACTGTTGATTTGGCCATTCCTAAAGTTTCTGCTGTCTCCCTGATAGGTCTGTGTTGTATTTTTTTATATTTTGTACTGTATGATGGCCTTTTTCACTTGTTTCGACACCTCTCTGGAACTTATATTCAGAGTTCCCTTCAACAGCTACCAAATTTAACTGTTGGAATAAACTCCAGGCTTTTCACCTCCACAATTTGTCATGAAATCACAGGCAAACAGGCCAGCCCTGGTCATGATACTGCTTATGAGTTAACTGTCCAATAGTGAGGCGATGGTGCAGTTGTGTGAAAAATGGCTGTAATTCCTAAACCGTTTGTGCAATGTCTTGTTAAACTGATCCTAGCCACTTGTTATACCAAGTGGTACATAGAGGCAAACTAACGAAGATTGTGTTTATAAATCCAACTGTAGGTAAAGTACCAGCAGATAAAAGACTATGACCAGGACCTGTTCTGCAAAATGTGAATTGGAACATCTTTAATTATTGGTCCAAATGAAGTTATTATTACTATTTTTCACATACTCACTTATCTTTCATTTTCTACAAAGGTAGTTAGGACAGCTGCATATGAGCGGTGTGCAGCTTGGGTTTTCATTTCTAGATTTATATTGATCTTGTGTATGAATGTACAGCCAAAAACAAGATCAGCGCTCTTTGAAAGCATTTTCTTGGCAACGTCGTGCGTTATGTGCGGACTGTCAGCAGCAGTGTACAACAGCCAGCTTTAGTGTGTCCGCCACTTCCCATTAGCTGTATCTATCAGCCTGCTGTGGCGACATGCAGTCACACACTCAGATAGCAAAACGTACACAGAACTCAAACATTTTACGCTTACCCTGCTATTCTGTCTTTCTCACTTTCTCTCCCTCTCTCACATGAGCACATGCTCGCTCACACCCGTGCATAGGACTCCGACTACAATTTAATTTGCTCTGGAAGAGATGGGATAGAGCATCAAATTATACCTAACGAGGAAAATCAATCACCTAGGGTGCAGATAAGCCGAAAGCTAGTCAACTCTGATTGATTCAGGCACAGCAGCCGCCAGGGTGGAATTTGACAGATAACTGCAAGTCAAGTGGATAGAGAAAAAGGTGGAGAGTAAAGAGAGACAGACGTACGGAGAGGAGAGGAGAGGAGAGGAGGAACTCTAAGAAAAATGACTGAACAGAAAGTAGCCTGCAATGGAGCAAAACCAGAAGTCTGAATAATTGGTGGAGCAGGAATGAACAGGAGAAAAAGAAAGCACTTGAAAGAGAGATAGCAGGAATATTTAGCAGCAGCTCTGTTTATCTATTTCAGGGATGGTGTGTTTGCTTCTGTCTGTGTTCCAGTGGCAAGTAGTGAAGGTGTGCGAGCGTGTTGCTGCACACAGGTGGGGTGACGACCCAGACACCTGGCATGTGATAAGAGGTCTCTCTGTAGGTTAGCACTCAACACTTTACCACAAGCAGTAGCTGCTCTTAGTCTGGGGACGCACACAGCCGCTTAGCATATCTAGGCTAAGATTGCTCACTGCAAATGAGGGAATAGTAATTCTGAGACCGTTTTAATTTGCCAGATTCGCCGTAGATGCTACACTGGAAAGCACTTACTGCAGTGCATTAGTAGCCACAGCTCACTGTTTATTCATCATCATATAACAAAATAAAGTGCATCAGGAAAAGTTACAAAAGAAGGGTTTCACACATATGAAAAAAAAAAAAGTAAAATTCAGTTTTATGTGCTACAGATGTAGAAATTGCCTGCACTCTACCAGTCTTGCATTGTTACATTGCTGCCATAATGCCACATGTCAATCCTTCCCAGGGAGTAAAACCTACGAGATGATTTTTTTGTCTCACTGTTTTTTTTTATTGCTGTTTTGATCCCTTAAACCTGCATGTCATTGCTGATACACACACACTCATTCATACTCCACTACACCTGTGCTGTAATCTCACTTTTTCCATGTGCGAGGGATTATGGGCAGACGTTTCATTCCTTAGACTATGACACAAGTGGTAGTTACCTCTCTCTGTCTGTCGCTGCCTTCATTTTTCTTCTGCTCGGCTAGCATCTTTAAAACTTTTACTGCTGGAACTTGTCACTAAACTTTGTGGCAGTTGCGTCTGACAGGATGCTTTTATTGGGGGCTTCTAAAGGCAGAAGCAAATGGACGGGCAATTACGTTTATGGGCAGTTTGAGGTGACATCCCTGCATATTGGATGGTCTTTTAAATAGGAGTCATCAGCCACAATGGTTCTCCCAGAGATGAAAACAAAAACAAGGGGGCTATTTCAACTGGCAGCATAATGCCAATCGACCACCCCACCCGTCTTCCCCTGTCTGCCACAATGGCGACATGATTGGCCGCCCTGCAGCTTTATATATTAGGACAGGAGGGATCCAGAGATGTTTTCTCAGCTAAAGACAGCCACAGGTATTTTAGAGCTGTGATGTCACTTTGACCCTGACTTGGTTTATATTTACCGATGATGATTTTGCAGTCGGGTAGTTATCTGAGAAAGAGAAGAAAATGATTTTTCTTTCTTCACTGTGCCCCTTTTGAAGGTAAATCAGAATTCCATATATCATGTAGTAATTCTTAGTACACACAAGCTCAGTCATACATCTGTTAGTCTCTCTAAATGAGACCAGTGCAGGGCCTGTTCAGCGCAGGCCAATTGCTTGACCTCCAGTATTGCTGTATGCAGTTTGTTTTCAATATCAGTGACCAACCACCCGTTCAGGCAACTTCACACTCGACACTGACTCCGTAGTGTAATGAAGACGTCAGTATTAAAAGTCAAATTAGCTGAGAGCTCGTTAGGTAAAACCAGCACTGTCAAGAAAGAGGGTTAACCCTCATCCATTCTGTACGTGGCTTTGTCTATAATCTAGTCTAGAGTTGCACTAAATATTGTTTTATTTTATTATTGTTCTTTGTGTCTTTCATTTGTCAAAAAAACATGTTATTGTATACTTATATTAAATAATTTCTAATCCATCCATCCATTATCTGTACACCGCTTAGTCCTCACTAGGGTCGCGGGGGGGCTGGAGCCTATCCCAGCTGACTTAGGGCGAAGGCAGGGGACACCCTGGACAGGTCCCCAGTCTATCACAGGGCTACACTAGACAGATAACCAAGCACACTCACATTCACACCTAAGGACAATTTAGAATCACTAGACTGTGGGAGGAAGCTGGAGAACCCAGAGAGAACCCAAGCTGCACGGGGAGAACATGCAAACTCCACGCAGAAAGACCCCGGGTGTCCTCACCGGGACGCGAACTGCCGACCTTCTTGCTGCAAGGCAACGAGCCACCTTGCAGCCCATATGTCATAATAATAAGTAATGTTTTATTACTCATACTACCTATAATATAAAATGAAATTAGTCTAAATAAATCTCAGAAACGTACCCACTTAATATTTCAGCAGTTATCTAATGATCATCATGTAGTTTATATGCATATATTAAATTAACAAGTGTCTGTCATGGCAAGCTTTTCCCTGAAAGGAAGAATCAGTACTTTGTGTGTATATATATATATATGGTCAAATATAGAATAGGAAGTGTTTGTTTGGCTTATTAGGCAAAAATTCCATTATGATCGTTCAGCATATTGTAATTCAATCAGGAAATTAAACTTCTGCGCTTCGTCTTTGTTGTGTATTCAGGCTTTAGAAAATCTAGTTTATGATGATAGCCTTAGGCCAATCACAGATCTTTTTACTCAGAGCAGGTAAGGTGATTTAAAGAGCAATAAAACAACCGTAAAATTAGGATTTGGTGTCGTAAAATGTTGGATGGAGGACCAATACTTGGTGAGTGGGGTTTAAATCCCAGGTGAAGTGCAAATGAATGTTGACTTTTAAATTGACTATCTTTGCACATTCGGAGCACATGTTTGTTTGATGGGAGGAGCTTAGATGGGAGAGGGGAGAGTGGAAAATATATTTTAGCACCAGTGTGAGGTAAGGAAAATGACTGAAATGATTTACAGATTAACAGTCCATAGTGTTATTTTAAGCATTTCTTCATTCATACATGGATGTTGGAGGAAATCCAAATCATAAACTGGCCGAAAAGTCACCTTCACCTCAAGCGCTCGTTGCACTGGTGTGATTAGTTGTTTCGAGTTTGCAGGTTTTACAGGGCAACACATTGTGGGCTCCCTGCCTGAAACGCGCCCACATTTAGATGATCGTGGACTGTGTTTTTTAGCTACAGCTTGTTCTCAAGGGAAAACCAACTACAGCCATATCTTCAACGCACCGTTGTTGTAACATATGACATCATTATGCAACACCTCAGCCCTACTGTAGTCACCAACTTTATCTTTTTGAGTTCCTTGACAAGCACTCATCCAAATGACTTCACACTGAACACTGCACTTCCTTTGGTCCCTAGCAACACACCTGCCAACACTGAAGTAGATGGGATAAAGGGTTGCCAAGAAAAGCTAAGAACAGACACACACTCACAGATACACTCACAGAGCTTCCTTGATTTATTAGTGAGGTGTTTACAAAGTCTACATCATCATAAACATTGTCTTGGCAACTTACACAGCAGTGACTAGAAACCAAACCCAGACACTTGTCTGTATTGAAGTAGATAGTCATGGTTGTCATCAGGAATCACATCAATTTGTCTTCCATAAAAACCACACAAGAATATGATTAAAATACATAGTTTTAATGTTTTATCTGTAGTTATGTTCTACAGTCTAATCTTGTCATGTCTGTACATTTTGATTGGTTTTCTTACTCTGTTGTCCCTACCTTCTTTTACTAGCACACCCAGTGAAGCTCATCTTAAGGTCCAAATAGGTAGTGACCCTAAAAGAATTTAAGGGTTTACATCCCCATTATCACCATTTTTACCAACAAATTGCAGTATTTCATGCAGAAATAGGAAAGGGCTTTTTTGTTTTGAAGTGTCCAATATGATGGTGACTATATTTACTGAATGCATTACCAGTCACTTATGATCTGCCACTTTGTAAAAATCTCCATGCAGAGACAGAAAAGAAACATCTCGTTCAAGACTGAAAAGAGAAAAATGGGCTGGCTTTCCAACTGATGCTGCTTGTGAGGCATCATGATAAGAACATTTTCTGTGAATACATGCTCAGGAAAAAAATAAATAAATGTACCTAGTGCAGGCCCCTTGTCTTTTGAATACATTAATATTTAGTACACCTGCCATTTCACAGCCTTATAGCAAAGACAAGAAAACATATTTCAAAAAAAAAAAATCAAAATGTCATTAAAAGGGTAACAAAGGTTAAAAAAAAATTTATATTTAAAAAAAGTTTATTTTTTTAATGCACGATTGAAACCTCTCTGTCTCGTGATTATGGTAAATTACCAGACTATGCAGGACATATGGACCTCATCTTCGACCTCCTTACTTTTGGTTGCTTATGGAATTATTATTATTCTGCTGTCACCACTGGTGCAAGTGATGTAAGTAATTCGGGGTACAACAGTCATCAGAATTCTTAAAATGTGAAAAAGTGTGAAGGTTTGTGCAAAGGAAGGGGTTGGTATGATGTCATCTTTGCTTGTCTTTGTACATCTGTCATGAAATGTGAGTTTTGCCCATTGATTGTTCATTAAAGCTTGCTAGATATATTATAGCATAAAATGTTATCCTCTACATTCATCACCAGTGGGTCAAACACACTGTAGATCAGCACTTGACATCATTGTCTTTTTTACCCCCCCCCCCCCCTTTTTTTATTTATTTTTTTTTTTTTAATACTAACTTCTTTCTTCTTTCTGCTGCAGGGGGTGAACAGCATGTTCCAGGTGTTTCTGACAGGAAACAACTCAGAGTACTTCACCATCTCACCCACAGCGGTACAAGGGCGTGCTGACATAAGGATGAGGGTTGCCATGCCACTGGACTTTGAACATATTCGCAGCTACAGCTTTTCAGTGAGTGTTTGACTTGTTTTAAGAGCTTTTGCAGTGCCTACCTGCACATTTGCATGAGAAGCCTAACGCTGGGTTCGACTTCAGTCGTAAAGAAAAGAATCAAAAGTGTGAGAGAATATCTGAATGAGGAACATAAGGGGAACACAGTGGCCTGCACACGAAACAGCTTTTCAGTTTATACTTATACTAAAGATGAAGGATTCTCACATAGAAATTCAACTTGTGTTTTTTGTCATTGTAAATGTCTTAATGATCAATTTGGTGAGGAAATAAAAGATGGATTAAGAGAAGGCAATCTTCATTCAATGGCGCAGCAGTTACAGTGTCCTTTTGCCCTTGAATGAACTCTGGATCCAGACTGATTTCTAAAAAAAATAACACTGAATGTAGCGTCATTATGTTTCTTGCGACTTGTTTTTATTTGTTTGGGTCCGAGGCTCAGGTAGACTGGGGCTATATCACTTTCTCAACACTGCAGAATTGTTTAAACAGTGAAATTGGTATTTTGTCACCTCAGCTTACCCCTGAGTTGTTTACAGACCCAGAAGGTACCCTACTCTGTGTTTAACCCAACATATTTGAATCTTAAACAAGCCAATTTATTAGCAAATTCTGATTATAATTCCTAGAACACCAGTAATAATGTCAAGTATATAATGTAATGAAATATGTATTGTTTCTTTTTTTTTTATTAAGTTATAGTTTATAATGTAATGCTTGTTTTCTCTTCTCAGCTTTATGCCAATGAGTCCATGTCTGACCATGTGGGATTTGCACGTGTCTATATTGAACTAATCAACGAGAATGACAATCGGCCCATCTTCAGCCGGCCACTGTACAACATCAGCCTTCCTGAAAATACGCCTCCTGGTACATCACTGCTGCGTATCCTGGTGAGTGTCTTAGCGAAGCGCTGTGCTGTGTTTACATAGCCGAGAATGTGATAAATAACTCACAGAGCTGTTTCTGGTGATTTATTCCTGAAGAGAAGTTTAACTGGAAACAAAACTGATTAAAATAAAACCTGACTTATACTAGTAACTTTTACAAGGCTCGTTTTATTGGGAATTAAATCTTGGGATGTTTGTTTGGCCCATGTGACCAACGACTCTCTGGAGAGTTCCTTATATGAGTGATGATTTATGGTGACTCGAGGAGGCTACCTCAGACCAAAGTACAAAAACACAAATGGAAAAACTCTCATCTCACTTATCTATTCACCTACTGCATTGGGTCACTTAGCTAAATTACTTACAGTGCAGTCATTTAAGGAAAGTCCTCCAGCGTACATGCTCACTGAGTACATTAATGCAGAGCATTGTTTTGGCAAGATAAAGGATTCTCATGATTACCTGCAAATTACATCTTATAGCTCAGATTTAAAGTTTCATATTCCACACCTAAACTTAATTGCTATTTGCAAAAATAAAATCCATTTTAGCTTTACAGAAATGTCTATTATCAGAGGATCTTAAAATGTATGGCTTTTCATATTGGATTAAGATTACATATGTCAATAATAATTACACAACCACCTCTTTTAAAATAATAATCCAATTTAAGAATTCAGTTCAAGGCTGTTTTTTTTTTTTCTTTTCTTTTCTTTTTTTTAAAGAAAACATGCTGTATTATTTATTCTCTCCAGGTCTTTTAGGAGCTGTTTAGTTTCTCACAGTTGAGGTGTCCTTGAAGTCACTCCACCTTGTGCTCCCACCATTCTGCAAAACTCACCCTCTGTCCAGACCAGCAGCTTCTACTATAACCAGATCGGAAAAAATCTCTCACTATCTTCCCATAACGCTGCATTATTATTCATTACCAGTCAGTCCTGTGACAGAACGCCCACAATCCACTAGATACAAGTGCCAAAAAGCACAGTGTGAAAATCAATAGTGTTTATAGACTGGGTGCTCATGAAATGGAGATTGCAGGGCAGTCTAAAACCCGATAAGTCTGGCTGATGTTGGCGTCGTGCTGGAGAGCACGGCCCGCCGTGGAATCCTGATTGCCAGCTGCGCAGAGTGTATGGACTGTAAACAGAATGTGAAGTGACGGCTCTCAGCGAGGCATGGATGGAAGCTCTCATATACGCTGTTAGATGAAGGTTTAGATAGTCTGACCTGCTCACACACACTTCTAAACACACACAGACACACACACACAATCCCCTGAGGTGCCAGATTAAACAGATGTTTAATACACTTTGCGAGTTTTGCTCCGGGACTGAAAAGTGGAAATTGACACACACACAAAAAACACACACAGTCAGGTTGAGACCACTGGTGCAGTTTTCATTACAAATGATATCAGCTTTACGATTTGAATGAAAAGTAAAGTTTCTCAGTCTTCAAGTGGGTAAATGTTTCCTTAAATGTTCCGTGGGGTTTAGGTCAGGTGCCTGTGGAGGAAAGTCAGCACTTCTTAGTCTTAAAGTATTGCTTGCAAAACTTTGAGGTGTGTTTGGGTTCATTGTCCTGCTGCTGGATGAATCCTTCCCCGCAAACATGCAGGGTGGAGTTGATCCAGTGCTGCTCCAGAGAAACAAACCCCCGCCCCCCTACTTGAATATTCCCAGCAGCATCTTTTTCCATGGGTTTGATACACTGCAGTGTCATTCTGTCTCCTGTTCATCTCCTTACATACACCCCTCTGTGACTGCCACACATTTTGAATTCATCAGTAAACAGGACTTTTTCCAGCCATCTACTTTGAAATGCTACTCTGTCATAGTCCACCCCAAGTGTTCGGTTTCTTCCCCCCTCCTGAGAAATGTTTTAGAGACTCTACTTATCCTCTGAGATACTATTAGACAGCCTTCTTTTGGCACAGATTTTTCCCGATTGGAGTCTTTTGTTCTTTATTCAGCAAATTCTGTATCTGTGCTGAAGTCATTTGTCTGTTTCTCTGTGAACAAAGCTGAATGTATTAATCATTTGATTGTGTCTTCACTTTTGGTTTCTTGATCCTGGTGTGGATGAACTGATCGAGTTTCTTTGCTTGGAGTAATCGGACTTCAAAACACTTTCACTTAGCTCTGATTCCATACTCCACAATCACAATGCTAATAGTGAGTAGTGTTCTGACACTGGTGAACAGTGCTTGCAAATTGATTTACCTGGAAACGCCTCTAATGAGTCAATTAAGTCCACCTTTGTTCTGCTTCGATTGAAAGAAATCTGACTTTTGTGTAAATGAGATTTCTAAAAAAATAAAAAATGCTTAATGCCACAAATTTAACTCAACTGAATTAAGAAGTAGTGGCACATGTCGTTTTATATATCACAATGTCTTGTCTTTTGAAAGGTTTCCAAATCCTCAGATTTTCAGGTTATTTCCAGGTTTAAATTCAAATATGTCAGAGACTCAGACCTTTGGACATATATACACACACAACAATCACTCTTAATACTGTAGAAGTCACTACATGACCACAATGACCACAGAGCCGCTGGTCATTTTAGGCATTTTCTCTATTTGTTACCCCATTAGAATTACATTTACTGTGTCTGTGTGCTTGTGTGCTTTGCAATGTGTTTGCATAGACTTGTTTACCAGTGTGGTTTTGTCATAATTTAGTTCATTAGTAATTTAGACAGTACGTCACAACAGTTGTAATCCAATTAAAATAACGGAGAGTGTTTGTTTATATGCTGCAGTCTGATCAAACAAGCCACAGCTGCCTCACGTGTTTGTGTGACTGATGAGGGATGTGTTCTGCAATGTTATCCATGTATTAATGTTTAAAATAAGTTATGAAGTCTAAAGTAAGACACATAAATATGGTAAATGCTGTGTTTCTGCTTTGCACTGTTCAGACAGAGTTTGGAGTGGATGTGGAGAAGTGGCAAAGGGACTGATTTCACTCTTGTACATGTAATAGATCTTATTTATATAAATTAATCTCTTGTTCTCACCATGAATTTTAAAATATAGAGTACAGAAATAGAAAGTAGCCTTGATTACGTTCAGCCCACCACTGCAACACTTTATAGCCCACTGCTGTGAGTCAGCACTGGTGAAATAAAAACCTTTTCTATCTGTCCCTTCACTTAGAGTCAAATTATGTCACTCACCAACTGCAGTCCAATCATTAATTCTAACAAATTAATGCATGACAACCCCTTGCAACTGTTTCTGTTAATACATTCCTGCGTAACTCCAGTTAGTTTTATTCTGTACTTTATTTTTTAGTTATTCTTTAAATCATCGCTTGATTTGCGCCTATGGCAGCCACATTTCCATTTTTTTCTGGCGTTATGTACCTGCCTCCCTTAGTCTCCTCCAGCTATTCAAACTGTCTGCTTGTCCAAGTGCACAGATGAAACTCAAGGCCTTACAGTATAAGCGGATCATTAGACTAGATTTGCCTCACAGTGCTCTCTGTCAGATGGCTGAAGGTACAACAGATGGTCGAATTATGTTTTACCACCGAAAGGCTGGACAAGTTTTTCATTATTAACATCTCAATGTAGCCTGATTCAGTCTGGGTCCATCAGTCTGTTAAAGTGTAAAGTTTTGCAATTCAGGCATAGGTCACTGTTATGTTAAAGCTGGGGTAAGCAGTGTTTTTTAGGCATCACGGGGAAAAAATCCCTCCTAACCTTTCTCTATATTGTAATTCAAGACTTCCAGGAGGAAATTAAATTTGACAGGAGATTTCAGTCAATCACAGGGCTTTTCAGCAATAAGGTGATATTCATGGTGTGTCAGAAAAGTTCCAGGACTGGTGTCACATTAAACCGAACCTACAAACTACGAGTTTTCCCCTTTCGTTCAGTGCGTTAGAAGAGGAGAGAGTTGTGGCAGGACAAGTCGGGGCTGCTTCACTATGTCCTGAGCATCTGACAGTTCCTGGCTGAGAAGAACATCGCCGTGCTGGAGCAACCTCCCTACTCACCCTACCAGGCTCTGTGGAATTATTTCCTCTTCCCCAAGCTCAAAGGGGACTTGTTTTGAAGACGTGGACGACATCAAGATGGCTGTGACGATGGAGCTGCGGAGGATCCTGGAAGAATCCTTCCAAGAGTGCAGAGAAGGCTGGGAAAGTGCATTAGACTCCAGGGGGATTACTTTGAAGGGGAAAACTTTAAGTTTGTAGTTTGGATTTGAAATACATCTTTTGTGACAGCAGTCCTGGAACTTTTCTGACACACCTTGTACTACAAATGCAACAAAAATCCCTCTTAGACATGCAATCTGTCTCAGGATCCAGCAGCAAGTCAAACTGTGTGGTTTTCTTCACATCAGAGCTGTGACACAGAGAGTCACGGTTTAGTTTGTTGCTTCCAGCTGTTTTTAGGAATCTTTACTCTGAGTTTATTACATACCTGCAGCATCGGAGAGCAGCAGGACCCATATTAGTGTCTTCATAGTGAAGGGGTTGGGTACATTTACGCAAGGAGCAACAGCAACAATTTCATTAATTATTATTCATTTATTATTTTATAATTATCAATTATTATCCCTAACAGAGACCGGATTTATCAGGATTTCTCTGCAAGCCACACTGTTACTTTACTAATGATAAAGTTGTATTTCGATTGTTATCACACATGAACAGAGTTTTCACCGTTTAGGAAATCATAAATAAACTAGAAATAAAGTAGAGACTTTCTGATTGATTAAAGCAGCATCTCGGTGTCTGAGATAGTTATTATTGGAATTTGTTGTTGGAAGCAATTTCTCCTGGAGTAGAAACTGTTTCCTGGGCACGGAATGAATTAATTAATTCAGGACCACAGAGACTGACCAGAGTGTTTCTTCATTAATTATACACAAATGAGCTGGAAAGAGGAATAGTTGGAACGTTTGGCAAATATTGTACTTTTTGGCAAGTGTTAGATTACATAGTTGATACCGCTCTCATCACTTTCCTGTTTGTGTACCAGGTTTG